CTGCGTGGGCCTCAGCGTTCTGCTTAACCTTCCTCAGGTGCTCGTCGTCGCTGTTCTCTGTCAACCGGCTAAGGATGTCCCTAGTCGACCAATATATTTGCAAGGCATACGAGCGCTCATCATAAACGTAGTTCTAGTTCAAGCAATCAGATTTCTTCTCGTGAATCGAGTTTGAAACGCTTACATCGTTAGGCATTTGGTCAACATGGACCGCTTCTCGATACCAAACTCGGGGACAACAACGTCGAACGCAGCATCAAGGACGCTAGCAACCTTAGCTGGACGAATGTCAGGACCGTATCGCTAAGTGAGGTCCGAGATTAGAAGCCACAGCGTCACGGTCCGTGGAGAATTTAGGTTCCACTGCCATTCGTCAGAATATGACAAAGACAGTCACGAAGTGTAACTCGCCTCCACCCTGAAAAACTGATTCGATTTGACGGTGCGCAAGAACATCCGCGTAGTGCCGAATAAGAGAGGTAAAATGTGTGCACCACGAGAGGAGACATCGACTGCGATATTGAGTCGATTGGCGCGTTCGGTATGAAGTTGTAACTGGAATAGGATGATGATGACTCGCAAGACGTCCCTCGAGCGGCGTATCATGTCTACGAAGCAGGGCCATACGTTGCGCGACGGTGATATTAGTTAGCAGCATGAGCTATAATTGTTCAGATCAGTCCTCGGTATAGCTCAGGTGCAAATTAAACACAAACGTCTTCAATGATGTTGTTTGCGTCGGCGTTCTCGGTTTGCTCGCCGTCCACTCGCTGATCGGCCGCTTTCGTCTAGGGTAAATTCAAGGCGCTTGGACGATAGGCTAACGGCGCTATCCTGGAAGACGAGAAGTCAACCCATGGACAATGGAGAGAATGTCCACTACCACAGAGCCCACCGTTGAAGCGTGTCGGAAGAGTCGACGACTGAAGGAAACGGTACTAGCCGGAGGGAGAAGGTTCCAGAATGCAGGAATGAAATGCACACGGCAATTTAGGGTATTGTCATTATCTTCGTAGCTCGCTTTTGCGACAACGAGCTGAGGGTCTAAGAAATGTGCTGCAGCCTTTTCAGATGACGATCATTCGCTGAGTAATAATAAGACATACCTCCAAAGCGAGCCGAGGAGAAAATTGATGGCGTATCGCGCCCATGAGGTTATTTCTACTCAGCAAGTCATTTCGAGGGCCTGGTCCCAGGCGACTTGTGAATTTGAGATTAATCTTGTCATTCAACACTTTCTGCACGATTTGGAGCGGATATGAATGTCAGGTGGGAACGAAAAGGTATGGAACTCGCCATAACAGAGTGACGAATGGCAAATTGAGAGACACAGACTCCACGCAAGCGGGTGAGGATGCCTCTCGAATCATAATCTAGGTCATCATCGCGTGCGAACAACGTCGATGCGTCAATTCCACACGTCACAGTGCCTCTTGGCCGAATGAGGTGATCAAACACTTCTTGATTACGATCGATCCTCCAACGTCGAAGATGCGCACGTATCTGTCAAGACGAATAAGAGGGTCTGACGAAACTTTGAAGTGTTGTCAGATATTGCATTGGAACTGGACTAAAGACTTTCACCTTCGTAAGCCTTCTGAATTTCAAGGAATTCCACAGCTGCAGTGTCCCTTGTCCGTTCCCCGCTTTGCTTATCGGGGCGAAAAATTACAGACAATGCTCTGTAGCGTTCCCGTATTTCGTTTGCGGAAGCGGTAGTTGGCACGTTTAACACTGAACTTTTTGATACGTCAGTAGCGGCTCTGGACGCTATCACGATGCGAACGACGTACTAAAGTATTCATTTCGCACCGGGTCTACGCGTGATTTGTCCATGCTGGCTTCCCAAAAAAAATAATTTGCGCGTACGTGCGTGCAGCACGAAGCTGCTTTGCGAGACCATTCAGGACCTTGAGGTCATGGATGATCGCTAATGTACTGCGTTCCGGAGCGACCACGAGATCGCCCAGAATGTGACCGTCGATAGCTTTCTGAGCGTCGGTATATGACAGTTTCACGCAAGATCTAACATTAAATGAATTCAATTATTCTGTGCACGGTGCACGGAAATATAACGCTTACTTGATAACGGTCTTGCCCAACCACTTGTTGACGATTTTGCCCTCCTTGGTCATGGCGAAGACGGCCGAGGATGTCAGACGTTCAACACCCGGGTTAAGACTGCGCGCCTCTTCGCTAATGGTGGGAGGAAGCATGGGGACGGCGCGCTGGTTGCCATCTTGCGAGCATCGCGGTCAAGAGCAGCGTTAGGCTTGACGAAGTAAGCGACGTAAGCGACGTGCCGCACGCCCACGTCATAAGTGATATCGTCGTTGGCTTCAATGGACAGTGCGTCATCAAGGTCCTTTCCAGACTCAGGATCAATAGTAAAGATGCGCTTTTTCACGAAGATCCTTCCGAGCCTCAAATTCCCTCTCTGGGACGCTGTATATGGTATGGTCAGCTCACATCTTGTGAGAGGTAGCCAGGAACTCACGTCCAGGGTGTAGGAAGCAGGCATTTGAGAACGCCGTCTGAGAACTCCCCTGTAGGGAAGTTGCAGTCCTTCAACAAAGCACTGGTTTCCACTTCGATGTCTCCAATGGGACCAAGCTCTTCAGCCAAAGTACCGAATGGATGGAGCGAACTAATGAGCTACGGAAGAAGCTATTGAATTGGCCCATAGGGGAATTGAAAGCGTTGACACCTAAGTTTCCACCCATGTCGGTTAGTAATGGGCTTTGGACGCGCCTGTGCCTGTTTGGGACCAATCCTGGAGTTCGCAGCGAGAGGACCTGGTTCGAAGCGAGCTGCTGCGGGTACAAAGCTTGTTGCTGCGGCTGAAGGCTGAAGCGCCTCAATATGGTTCTGGAGGGCGATCTAGAATAATTTCAGCTACACAAAGCATGCAACACAATTAGCCACATACCTGTTCAGCCGTAATCCCTGTCAAGTCACCTTCAGGCTTCCTATGGGGTCGTTCATCGAAAGAAAGTTGGTTTGTTGCTGAGGGAATCTGACGTCTTCCTCGTTGATAGGCGGACGTTAAAGCCAGTTCTCCTACGCGCTCCAAACATGAAACCAGGGGCAATCGGCGGACGGCCAGTGCCAGCGTTGAGTGAATTTAGTGTCGACGGTATTAGGACAAACAAATTAAGTTTCACATACAAAGAGTGTGGGATTGGACTGAGGACTCACGTACTACGACTCGGTTGCAAAGCATGTCAAACGAACAGCACGTGACTGTCCACCCATATTCAACCGCTCTAAAGAAACTTGTTCAGCGAATGCGTATTTGCAAAGTTTCGTTGGCTTATCACCTTGAGGAAGCATTAATGGCTCTAGGATTGACCTGCGTCATTACTTGAGCGAAATAATCGGTCAGAAGCATAGAACGACGCTTGCCATGAACCCATCATGATATCGACGCCATAAATGCGAGTTGGTCGCCCAGTCCATGCCCGGGCCACAAGCGTTCTCGAGAGCACATATAATCAGGTTGGGTGTGCGAAGGTCTAGTTGACAGGCGCGCCGCGTGCCATGAGATTTGGCAGGCGTGCACTCCTAGCATGGGCCGTCCACCCTGCCTTAGAATATTAGCTGATTCAGCTCTGTCTCACAGCCCGCTAAAATCTCGCACAAGCAGTTGAAACACGTTTTTATCAGCACGGCAACATCGATGATCCGATAACGCTGTCAAATATCTTGAGAGGCCGAAGATATGCGTCCTCGAATTTACATGCATCCTCGAGATCTGCTGATGCATTTTGTGCGGCGGAAAGTCCAGATGTCACAGGTCCTGAAAGTAGATTCATGCCTTTGGCAGTCTCGTTGACGTCTCGAAGTGCCGATTGGGTATCGGCGCTTTGTTTTGCACCAGGGGGAGCATCCTGAACCTGGTAAACAACAAAACTCACGGAGAGAGCATAAAATGAAAGGTGACCTACCTCAATATTTGAAATTGATGAGACACCTTCACGATCGACGTTCGGGAGAACAGGGTCACGGGTGCGTGAATCCTTCAAGTTCGAGCGCTCGTGTACGATATCAGCTTTATCACAGTGCACTCACTATTCATTTCGACTCACAGAAATCTTTTGTATTTCACCATTCATGACTTTCCCCAGAAACCGACTTATTTTGCCACGAGGTCGGCCCTAGACAAGGGATGCATTGACAAGAGTCAGCGTTTCGAATGTAACTTGATGGATATCAGCCCCGTACCGGGAGTTCCGTAGCGTTTGCTTCATTAGATGTCTCGATGCGTGGAGGAACAGACCTCGAGTTCCCATCGTTCATGGTGAAACAGTCGAATTTGATGATCAGTCTGAGCGAAGAGTAGAGCCAGAGAGCGTCAAGAAGTTAGGGTGTGCCTCCGAATACACAACAGTCATTACTATATGACAGCAAACCCCGTGACAATATTTACTGCTGTATTGGCTTCAGGCGCTAAACATTGCCGCATCGGGTGGGCGCCAGCAAACTCCAGAACACGCAAGGGAATCGAAGGAACAACTTAAAAGATAGATTTGTACGTAGTAGTCGGTCACGGGAAGTTGCGTCCGCGGCTCAATTGAATTGACTCAGTGCTTAACCACATTGTAGCACGGTCCATGAGTCGACTGACGGATCAAACTTAGATCATAGTACGTAGTATTTGCCGCAACTTGAACCAATGCGAGTTGTTGAAGGAGTACAACAGTTCGAGTTGTATTGATACAGATTGGTTGCAGACTATTTCAGATGATCGAGTCGCGATCGGACCACTTGAGCTTGAATATTGAATATTGAATTTCCAATTGGTGCTCACGCGCATGATGGGCATAAATATTGACGAAAGCCATATTAGCACTCTAGGAACACTACGACTAGCGAATAGGCACTTGTTCGCTTCCATCTGTTGACCTGACGCATCAATGCCGTGGAACTTGGCGCGCTTATAACATATCTTTGAGCACCGACCATGACGCTGACCAGTCTTCCACACGATGTGTGTTACCAACTCTCCCAGTCACTCAGCGCACCATCGCATAAGCACGAGTGTTCACAACGCTATTATACTCAGACCTTTCCGGCAGCAGCAGCCGCGTTCTTTTTCTGTTCCTTTTAGCTTTTCAATCTGCTGCAAAAAGTCAAATAAGCACAAGCCGCAACGCCTTCAAACTAAAAGACAAAACGCTCACCAAAAGTCTCTCCTCCTTCCTCCTGGCCATCTCATCCGCCTTCTCCTCCTTAGACATCCCAGCCATACTAGGGATGATATGGGCGTTGATCGAGTGCTTGAAGCGGGTGAGAATGCTGGTGCGAGAGGGGAAGGTACGATGGGTCTGCGGGGTTGTGGTGAGAGCGTGCGTGAGATCTGGGAGGGACGTGATGTAGGCGAGCGATTTGTAGGTCGAGACGATGATGCCATTGCGCCCCATTCATCTGAAGCTGTATCAGATAAATCAGTAGGGACATTATGGAGGAGTAAACAATCCATACTTGGAGAACCGGACCGCAGCGATAGACCATCGATGGTACTCCCTAGTTTTGATTCTACAGCAGGCTCGAACGCGTCTACGAAGAAAAATGACCTCAGTTTCGATCCAGTGATATCTTGAATGGTCAAAGGACGTACTCCAATCCTCTTCATCGGCATTGATATCAATCAAATCGTCATTCCACGAACGACTACTACCCTGCCCTGCCTCGTTGGTAACCTCGTCAACGAGCGTAGAGATTGGCGCTTTATTCCCGCCCAGCTGTAGGCCTTTGCTTCATACTGGATTTGCGGAGGGAGAAACAGGTGTCACAGGCAAAGGACTGGCGCTACCATTGATGGTTGGTGCTAGTGTTGATCCTTTGATGGTACTTGAGATTATTGTTTGCATGTCAGCGGGGGCAAGCTGAGCGACAGATCTTTGTAAGCCATCAATATCAAGAAAAACAAATTAAACGTGCCTTTTTTCCCAGCGAAGATACAGCCCACCCTGTGAGAGCGGCTGCAGTGCTCGTCGCAGAGTTCACAGGGCCAGCCTGTGTGTATGCACCTGGAAGCCTCGCGGGTGGATCTTCCCTGCCGTCTTCTGTGGATGCTGTCTCTGGCTATGAAAAAGGGGTATAAGCTGGGTTGTGTACTACAGACGTACCATAGTCGAAGCGTGAGCTTCTAAACGCTTGATAAAAAGCTCGACAGCTTTGAATGCCTGATCACGAACCAGTCTGTACATATTCAGCCATCAACATACATCAAAGTAGTAAAACGAGAGCTGTAGACTCACTTTTCTTTATCCAGCGTAGCGCCTACAATAGCCGGAACGGCTTTACTGACCACGCCCTCAATCTCGAAGCACTCCGCGGTTGCCATGAACGCCATAACGCCTGCCACGTGGGCGTGGACGAACAAATCCTTCAGCGCCATGCTGAATGCAGAGACGAGAACTTTCCGTTTGGTATTATATCCTAGCGAAATTCCCAGCCGGTCAATAAGGATACATGTATTAGTGCGGATGGAAACTCTGGGTCTGACTGGAGGCGGGCGAGATGGCGGAGGAGGTCGTTGTTGAGTACTCGGTCGGATAACTTGAGCATTAGCGACATTGGTCGCACCTTCAAGGTCAACATACCTTGGGATACCTTGGGGGAAAGTGGAACGATAGTGCGGACAGTAGCTTCCCAGATGATGGCTGAGCCAAATCTTATCAACAACTGTTTTCTTATCCAGTTTCTCGACAAACTCGGGGAGACTATCGAGAAGCGCAATGCGTGTGCCACGGTCGGCACTCGTAAAAAGTGTGACGAGGGGTGCCACGACGACTGAGCCATAGTTGTCGGATGCAACATTCTTTCCGAATCGGAGGACGAGAGGGACGATGGTTGGTGCAGAGGCACCGAACTCAAACGCAGAGGCAAGACATTGAAGAACACGATAAGAGACGAATTTGGGGGGAAATGAAGATGCAGATTCCTTTAGCGTGCTAGTCCAAGTCGCTGAGTAGTTGGTGGGTATTTGAAAAGCAACGCGTACCGTAGTAAGGATGCCTTATCAGATTCACTACTCAGGGTGAATCCGTCCAGTCCAGCGCAGACCTTGACAAGCCGGTTATGTGCGAAAAATCCATATTCTTCTCCATCCGACTCTGCCATACCAATGTCTGGTAGGTTTTGGTGTGACATGAGTCATCCGTGATTTGGCTTACTGGATGTGTGTTTGCTTCAGAAGAATACATACCCTGGATGAAATCTTATGTCTAATCCATCATCGTGATGTCCATGATCATGAACACGGAGCCAGCAGTCGTGTTGATGTACGATACGATAGAATGAGAATAGCCTCACCCCGGGAATGCAGGAACGAGGAGCTTACTAATGCCCAGAATTACTATCAGATCCCACGTTCCGATACTCTCGCTGCCTTGGGATCAAATTCAGGACATGTTCATAGAGCTAAGGAGTTGTGCACCTCCTGGGACTCAGACTTGTAAGACAACGAGAAAAGACAGACTCACCCGGACACTGTGGTTGTCAAGGAAAGCCAAAGGCTCATGAATGGATGGTGCCTTTCCCGTTAGTACCATCAAAGTACCATAGCCGTAGCCAACACTGAATCATGGCATCTACTCAAGACCTCCTCAAGCAAGCTGCAGATCTCACGTCCTCTAACCCAAAGCGCGCAGAGGAGCTTTACAAACAAATAACCGGTGTGCTGAACAGTGTATGACGCAAGTATGACATGACTAATGCTAATCATACTCTCAGCATCTCAGCAACCTCCAATGGATCGGCAGTCAATGCCAACAAAGTTATGAGGCGATCAGGTACGGTACCAGCCAGAAAAATGGCAACACACCCCATTATAAATTTTGCCTTTGTGTGCTAACTGAGTACGTAGCATGATAGTACAAGTCCAGGAGCAGACCGCGACGCTCTGAGACCTGCCATATTTCCCCTTCAACCTTGGCGGGCCACCTCCGAACGCTGAAGACTGGTCATAACATCTACTTCTTTACCACAGATTCTTCCGGTTGGTGATCTTCCCAGCGCTTGGTGCGATTATACCAGCGTCTATCGTGCCGAACAGTCCTCGACAACACGTGTAGTATGATCTGAACCCTCAAAACGCTGCAACCTTCCCTCTCAGCTGAACTTTATCCACAGTCCCCATATCCCCACCCCGTCTTTCTCTCTCTTATTCCATTCACCATCCTCGATCCTCATCATTTTGCTCCATCGTGCTATCATGCCTAGTTGCTCGGAAAGCCGATATATCAGAATTGAAGGCGAGTTCCTCCATATTACCTTCGTATCTATTTCATGATCCTCACACTCTATCTACACTGTGCAGTCATCAACGCCAGGAATCTTTTAATCCCCTCCTGGCGTATTCCCGCTGGCATTTGCGTATCCATCAATGTCGACTCGGGGAGATGCCAGAAGTCAGCCATCTGCGTCTTATCATCCGATCAAGCTGTAGCGTGGGGGAATACTGTAACCTTGTAAAGCTCATGGTGACTGACGCGATACCAGAACTGATCTTGAGTTTATAGGTCATCACACGCCTCACCTGCATTGTCAGTCGAGATCAGGGCATCCTATGAGTTTGTTCGAATGCTAGGCGCGCGGGAAAGGTCATTAAGTCTGCCTTCGTAATCGAAGCGGAATACGAGTGACCTGTGCCCTGTTGAGGACGAATCTCGTGATTCCTCATTAGACAACTTAGGGAGCGCTTGTCGCCCGTTTTACCAAACGTCGGAATGTTGTAGACCCTCACTCGAGCTATCACCCTCCATCGCGAGGCGCTGTCATTGCGTCCAGCTGGGCATCCACTTCGTGACAGCACTCTTAACCACCTTGCCCTTGCGCTCCAACAGTGACATGACATATCACATGCCAGCGAGGATCTTAACGAGACCATCGATTTATATTACCAATCCCTTCGGTCAACGCAGCTTGATCCAGAGCGCTATGTGACTCTTCACAATTTGAGTTCAGCACTCTGCTCTCATTTCATGCGACTCAGGATGATAGGCCATTACTCTTTGCCAAGAGTCATTGGCAGCTCGGTCTTCACTTCACCCGGGCAGGTATTTCAGCTACATGCGGCTGCAGGTGGCCTATGTGTCTCGTTATCAGATTCTACGCGACCCTGTTGATTTGTCGCTCGCAGTGGAGAACTTCCGACTGGCATCAAGGCATCCTACTCAAAGATTTCCGGAACGCATCACGGAGGCTATTGACTGGGCTCGTCAAGCAGAGGTATTTCAACATGAATCTGCCCTAGAAGCATACCAGATGTGCTTTGAGCTGTTTGACAGCCATATGATGACGCAATCGTCGATCATCTCACGGCGCGAGGTTGCAGCCGCTTTTCGTGGTGCGCGACCACTTCCTGTAGATGCTGCCTTGTGTGCCATACGTCGTGACAATATACGACGGGCAGTCGAGCTCGTGGAGCAGGGCCGTGGCCAGCAGTGGTCACTGGCATTGCGGTTCAGGACGCCACTCGAAGACCTCAAGTCTAGGAATCCCGAACTAGCTCGCAATTTTTTAAATCTTAGCACGCACCTGTCCGATGCTCTGGATTCTATAGCCAGAACTGACAGAGCTGTTGCTGATCAGGCAGCAACAGAGTATAGGAGACTCACAAAGCAATGGGAAGCTGTAGTAGCTGAGACACGTAATCTTCGGGTGTTCTCGCGGTTTTGCTCCCACCTTCGTACGAAGATTTGCAAGTGGCAGCACGCCAGAGCCCGATTATCATCCTCATCGCCAGCCAGAACTCGTGCAGCGCCATCATTGTCCCGACATCGGGAGGCCCCCATCATGTTCCTTTGCCATCCATCGCTCTCGCAGATCTGAAGATTCTCAAGGATCGCTTCGCCAGGGCAATACGAGATGCATCTCGAATGAGCCCAGCGGAGTCAAGGACGGATCTAATAGTGCTCCTGCGGATAATATGGGACGAGGTCGTGTTGCCCGTCGTCAACGCACTCGAGTATGTCCTCAAACTAAAGCACCGCTCTCGAACCTGATTATGTCCAACTGCAGATTTCACGTCCATTCCTCTCCATGCAGCTCACCCGTTCCAAACAAAGTCAGATCGTTCTGGCAAGGAGCCATGCCTGGAATATCTTTACATCTGTTCTTACACGCCGACACTTTCAGCTTTAATCAGATCTAGACAGTTGACGAAGAAGGGCGTTCCTCCGTCCTTTGTGGCGATTGGACAAGGTCAACCGGGTGCAGGGAAAGGCAAGGCGCTCTTAGCTGTCGACAGCAAGCTCGAGCTTATCCGTAAGCTCGTCCCGACAACTGCCTACTGCATCACTATTTCTGGCGACGCAGCCACGCGAGCAAGTGCACTCTCAACTTTGCAGCAGAACGCCTGGGTGCACCTTGCTTGTCATGGGAAACAGGACCCTACGGAGCCTAACAATTCACGTTTTCTTATGAGAGACGAACATTTGACGCTGCTCAATATTGTGGAGAGACATTCCGCAGGCTGAGTTCGCATTCTTATCTGCTTGTCCTACTGCCATGGGCGATGAGAAGATGTCCGAAGAAGTGGTTCACCTTGCAGCTGGTCTCCAGTTTTCAGGGTTCAAGAGCATCGTTGGCACGTTGTGGGAGGTCGACGATGCCATCGCAAAACACGTGGTTGAAGCTTTCTACAGGTATATGTTCGGAGATTTGAAAGATGGTGGTGTCATGGACTGTACGAAGGCGGCCTGGGTACTTAACTGTGCTACGCATGCTGTGAAGACGGAAGTGCCGCTCGAGCAGAGGATGGTTTTTGTTCATATCGGTGTGTAGGTCGTACTGCTATCGTCTGTACATGTTATTGATCCCGTGAATTTCAGAGCAACACAGAATGAGTGACATGGTATTTCACTGAGGTACTGGTCTCAATATGACTTGAGTGATTTGTCCGCTCGTTGTCCCTGCGTGTTTGCGCATCTGGTGCACGGGCATTTGCATGATATCCCCAAGGTATATAGCCGTATATATATACCTAGGGCCACTGCCACCCGAGTAGCCCATGGATCGGAGCGATCGAGACTAGAAGCAATAATCATGCCCTGTGCACCGAATAAGAATCACATTCGGAAAGTTTAATATGGTACTAACATATTCATCGAACTCGGGTGCAAGGATTTTAGCCTTCAAACTGGTTAGAGCCGAGCACGTAAATAATGATGAGGAGTCACACCTTCTCCCGGCAGAAGTCTTGTAGAGCAGCTATGGTCAGCGCGCTCTTTCGAGGCCAATAAATCACAGCCTCCGCGATGGCCGATACCGCGCTGGTTCGAACGTACGCATTGTTGTGCTCTGACAGACCCATTAGGATTTAAGGTATAGAAACATGGACTACATACCCAGATAGTTCATGAGCTTGTCAAGGAAGTCTTCTGGAACATCCAAGCCGTTATCCTCCCACAAGTGTTTGGCGAGACGGACATTCTGCTCATCGTCATCGTGGCAGGCTACCCAATGTTGCGGAGACCAATCAAGATCAGTCAAATCGAATGGCTGCGAAAATGATGAACAGACATAGCGCAAACTACAAGCAAATGATACTGACCTGGATGGCTTGCAGACGAGCGTTCCTGACGTAGACCTCTTGCAATAGTGTGCCATCCATGAGCACACCAACCTCATCGCGGGTCGCGTTCGGCTGCACAGCCTCTCTGAGGTCAATGAGAACAGATGACGCTTCCTTGCTAAGTCGCGGCTGATGCTTTATGACTTGGAGGACGTACTCCATAGTTGCTTTTCTGGGAAATGCTGCATCCGAAACTGCAAGAATATTAAAAATGCATCGATTCTTACACTGAAGACGAACATTCGCTGCAGTGAAATCTGATGATATCGAGCACGAGAGTTACTTGCTCGAGTGCTTCATCACCATCATCTTGCCCGGCGTCTACCCTACCCTTCAGCAACGCCTGTCCAAGGAGTGGAAATGCATAGGAAAAGGTTGCGGCATCAAACGGAGTTTGTTCTGACAGCGATCACAGACGATAGAGAACGCGTAGCACGAGAGCTGGAGAATCGTCAACACGCGACTGGTTTTTCAGACGACAGATGAAACTCACAGCTAAATTGTTCAGCCTCGGTTCCTCGGGCACTGATGTTATTCTAAGGCTTCGCAAGGTCGCTACACCAACCCACTTACA